AACCCATACTGAAAGAACATGCCAGGATGCATGCACCTCCTGGAAAAGCAAGATCCAGCTTCCACGGCTTCTGCACGTCTCTGCGAGACAATGCCAAAAGATTTGAGTGCAGTATGTACACACATATACAGTATACATACATATACACTACACACATACAGTATACATATGTATACATACATATATATATATATACATATGTATATGTACATATAAACACTGTGTAATTTACATACATACAAACATAGATACATAGATATATACATACTTACAGTATAGGAATGCTGCCACCGTTGCAGGAAAACACAATTTTAGAACAGGACCGGGATGTATATAAATTTACATACATATGTATATTGTACATAGGCGCACTCACATGCATACATGCAACTTTGTATCTGCCAGTATGTACACACATGCATACATATGTACATACAGACATACATAGCTACATAGCTACATAGCTACATAGTAATGCCTGTTTCCCTCCCTTTTTGCTTTCTGGCCAGTTCCAAGGCATCTCTGATGGAGAAGCAGGTACCATATGTGATCTTGCAGCTCCCTATGTCCAACTTATCCTTCTGGCATTCCCTGTTGCTTCTTCGGAACCCAGACGAGATGAACCAACCGAGACTTCAAGATGGCACCCCTCGTCCTGGAGGTGGTCTTGCACAAAATCGAGAGGAGAATTTGCAGACGGAAGTCTTCAATTTTCTGGAAAAGTTGGAGGAGGTCAAAAAGATGGCCAGGGACCAGGCTGACATGGTGCTAGAATACTTGGAATCTTTTGAGTCCCGACTGAAGTCAGATCACAGTGTGCATTTGCAAGACAAAGGCTGCTTGGTCTTCGCATCCGGTGCACTATGGCAAAGGCCACACATGCCATGATCTCTGCTTCCCCTGACTGGAAATGGATGGAAACTTGCCATGACCAATGGTACGGGCAGGAAAACCACCCTGTTTTCCGAGTATTCTTCAAGCTTGAGTCTGATGTTGAAGGAAATCCAGTCTATCAGTACAACCTTTTCTTTCCAGATGCAGCAGGACACAGACTGTTCCCTGCTGATGACAATGTGGTGTGCAGTCCGGAGCCAAAGAACTTTGAAGCTTTGTTCGGTGATGATGCCGGAAAGCCTTCGGAGAAGCTTGCCAGCTCAGCCAGCTCCATTCCAAAGTTAGCTGCCAGCCCTGAGAATTTGCCCGGGCCAGATGCTGAAACTGATGCTGGTTCAGGTCCAGGGTTGTTTTTTTGACATGGCTGATTCCGCAGCCATACAGACATGTTCTGGGGTTGTTTGAAATTAGTACAGTATACAGTACATAAGTACATACATAGATACCCTAGATGTATGCATAGAAAATCATACAAACATACGCACAGTTGCTGGACTCGTGAATTTTAGAACACATCTCTGTCAGGCTGTCAAGCCGGGGGCGCTGACTTGATTGCATCTATGGGGATCAAACGAATTCTCCTTCTGAAAAAGAAGTGGATTGACCTTATCTTTGGCGGTTCCAAGCAGGTCGAGCTCCGGTCTCACAATTGCAACATCCGAGAAACCATTGGTCTTGCAGCCTCTGGGGTGCTCTATGGCAAGGTGACACTGACCGATAGCTTTCAGGTTGATCAAGAGTGGAAGGACAAAAATGTCCATTTGCACCAGTGCACTGAGCCCGAGATGCTAAAGAAGTACAACTGGGCTTGGGTCTTTGAAAACGCTCAGCCGATCAATCCAAATCTGTCCTTCCATCAGCCACAAGGCGCCATGATGTGGGTGAAGGTCGGAAAGGTGGACTCTGCTTCTTCTAGGTCCAGTTCCTTTCTTGGTTCCCAGGTGATTTTGCGGACACAAACTCTTTGCATAGAGAAGATTCTGAACGGCCAGAACACATCGATTCTGGTCACTCCAAGTCAACTTGAGAATGAGTGCGCTGATTTGTGGCTCGGTGACAATCAATTTGAGATTGTCTGGGGTGCTGTGACCCTCGGTGCGCCAAAGCCTCTTCCAAGCAATGTTGAGAAGTGTAGAGCTCTGAATTTGACCAACATGCGGTCCAATGCTCTTTCAGGTGATGTGGTGATGAGAGAAATCACTTCAGCAACCCCATTTCCAAGAACATGTGGATCTGGTGAGCCTCTTGCTGTCTCGAAGAACTGTGGCGCACACTCCTTTCACAAGATTTGCAAAGAGGATTACATCAGGAACACTCTCCGCAAGCAAACTCTGGGCAGAAAGGAGCTACCAGGAATTGACCTAGAACAAGCTGCATGCCACTACATCGAGGCCTTGACCCCTTTCTACCTTGATCGACTTCGGCAAGTCTGCAATGCGCTTCATGGCTCCACAGTTCGGCTGGCGACAACATGTTCTGGCATGGAAAGTGTTCCAGGTGTTGCAAAAGCTCTTTTCAGGACAGGGTTTCATACATACGTACATGCAGACAATACACACATTAATGAATCCCTTCCTCCTAATACTAAACACCCCCCCCCCACCCTATTACTAAACACGGCAGGTAGTTTTTAGTAGTAGGGGGGTATTTAGTATTAGGGAACTCTATTAATAAAATTAAACCCTTAATAAAAAAAACTATTCTTTCCGATTTCAAAATCAATTCAATTTCTTTATATAACGTAATTAAAATATGGCCAAAAATTGGATTTTGAAGCTTCCCCCTAATATTAAATTTAAACCCTTAATAATAAAAACTATTTTTTCCGATTTCAAAATCAATTCAATTTCTTTATATAACGTAATTAAAATATGGCCAAAAATTGGATTTTGAAGCTTCCCCCTAATATTAAATTAAAAGCGTGGATAATAAAAGCTATTTTTTCCGATTTCAAAATCAATTAATTTTCTTTATATAACGTAATTAAAGTATTGCCAAAAATTGGATTTTGAAGCTTCCCCCTAATATTGAATTAAAACCCTTAATAACAAAAACTATTTTTTCCGATTTCAAAATCAATTCAATTTCTTTATATAACGTAATTAAAATATGGCCAAAAATTGGATTTTGAAGCTTCCCCCTAATATTAAATTAAAAGCGTGGATAATAAAAGCTATTTTTTCCGATTTCAAAATCAATTAATTTTCTTTATATAACGTAATTAAAGTATTGCCAAAAATTGGATTTTGAAGCTTCCCCCTAATATTAAATTAAAACCCTTAATAATAAAAACTATTTTTTTCCGATTTCAAAATCAATTCAATTTCTTTATATAACGTAATTAAAATATTGCCAAAAATTGGATTTTGAAGCTTCCCCCGAATATTAAATTAAAAGCGTGGATAATAAAAGCTATTTTTTCCGATTTCAAAATCAATTAATTTTCTTTATATAACGTAATTAAAGTATTGCCAAAAATTGGATTTTGAAGCTTCCCCCTAATATTAAATTAAAACCCTTAATAATAAAAACTATTTTTTTCCGATTTCAAAATCAATTCAATTTCTTTATATAACGTAATTAAAATATTGCCAAAAATTGGATTTGGAAGCTTCCCCCTAATATTAAAGTAAAACCCTTCATTTAAAAAACTAAAAGATTCGGCTGCATTGCAGGGCATTGAGACACTTCTTCGGTTGCGAAGTGGCCGTGCGGGCTGTATTCGCTTGTGATTCCAGCACGGTCTGCCAAGAGCACATCAAAAGGATGGGTGAAGCTGAAATTCTCTTCGATGATGTCGAGAAAATCACTACAGGAAGTGCTACAAACCTGATCACTGGGAAAGTGGAGTCTGTCCCAGAAGCTGATGTACTAGTATCGGGGCCCTCGTGCGTGAATTTGAGCTCAGAGAATCTTTCACCTTGATTAAATGAAATCATTTTCAGACTCCTGTATGTATACATGCAGTATTTTGATTTTTGCATACCATTCCGATCTACTGCATATGCACATACGTACATATGCACTGGGAACACCATAATCCCTTCCCGCTAGTGTAATTCCACATAAGCGGTGCTAAGGTTCCCCCTAATACTAGATTACAAATTCTATGTAATATAAAAAATAGTGTTTTCCAATTCAAAATCTGTGGGATTTCCTTTCAGTAATACATACATATAGACATCCACATCCTTTCAATCCTAGGAATGCAGATCGAAAAGAGTTCATCGGCTGCTACGGCGATGACGATACGAGTTCTTGCCAGTCTGGGATCACATACAAGCATGGATTCCGAGATGCCAAGCTACGACTGAACACACCAGTTGCCATCTATGAGAATGTGAAGGATGTGCTCAAGCAGCGGACTGATGAAAATGGTGTGAAACGCTCTGCTGAAATCAGCCGGGTTACTGCTGACATGCTTGAACAAGGAGCCAAGTTTGCTTTCAGGCCTGTTGATACTTCCAAGTATCTCCTTCCCCAACGGCGCAATCGTGTCTTTGGTGTGGTCAGTGATCAAGAGCAACGCCCACAAACTATGTCTGAGGATTTCAACAAGGTGATGAGGCTTTTGGAATCGCTATCCCGGTGGCCAATCGAGAAGCTGCTGTTCTCAAAGGATTGTGTGATCAATCCAACCCTCACTCCAAGAGTTCAACGGCTTGTCAGCATTTGCTTGGGAGAGTCCAAGGGAATCAGGGACGCAGACCTCTTCCTAGATACCTCAACATCTGATGGGCGCAAGAACAAGGAGTTCGCCAATGGAATGACAACTTGCTTGCGGCCAACCCACAAAGTCTATTCAGCCACAAGGCAAAAGAAGACAATTTTTGGGTACATATGTATTGCAGTACATACGTATGTACAGTACATACACCTAAATTTCCGATTTACAATATTGTACATATACATACAGTATACATGTGTATTTTGAGAAATACATTACATCCACCATGTTTGCCAGGAGAGCGAGCAGCAGGGTGAATAATTAATTTTAGAACGAAACCTGTTCAAGTATATAATAAACTGTATATGATATCCAGGCATCTTCTTCTGCTTTTCTTACCCAGGTCAAGCGAAAACGCTACGTTACTGGGGAAGAGGCAATGGCTCTGCAGGGGATCTGGTGGTGGAGCTATGAAGGCCAGAGTGCCATTGCTATGAAGGAGATGATGCACTCCAAAAATGCTCTCTATTGTGCTGGGAACGCATTCCCAACGACAGTGCTACTGGCAGCATTTGTGGCCAGCTTGTGCTCCTGCAGTTCCTGGTTCACAGTGGCCCAGCGACGCCGTCTCGTCAACCCTGCACAACCACTCTGCGATGCTGTCGATGAGGATAGTCAGTCTTTGAGACGGGCTGCAAAAAGGCGGGGGATCTCTTCTTCTGACTTGAGTTCTGCGTGCCGTCGACGAAGCTCCTGTGTTCAACCACCCAAAGGAGATGCTGAGGAGATCGAGAACGGAAACCAGAGTGATAATGACGATGATGATGGTCTCACAGTTGCCCTTGGAAACGAAGTTCTGGCTTTCACAGCCTTTTTGGATGAGCAGGAAGCACGCGAGGTTGCAAAGCAAGCTGCAGCTGCCGCAGCTGAACCACAGCACAATTCACCAGCAAGCAAGAAGAGCGCAGATCCCGAAATTGCAGCCAACCATGGAGAGCAAGCTGCAGCTTCCACAGTTGAGCCGCAGCACAATTCACCAGCAAGCAAGAAGAGCGCAGATCCCGAAATTGCAGCCAACCATGGAGAGCAAGCTGCAGCTTCCACAGTTGAGCCGCAGCACAATTCACCAGCAAGCAAGAACAGCACAGATCCCGAAATTGCAGCCAACCATGGAGAGCAAGCTGCAGCTTCCACAGTTGAGCCGCAGCACAATTCACCAGCAAGCAAGAACAGCACAGATCCCGAAATTGCAGCCAAAAATGCAGAGCAAGCCACAGCTGTCACAGCTGCCGCAGCTGAACCACAGCACAATTCACCAGCAAGCAAGAAGAGCGCAGATCCCGAAATTGCAGCCAACCATGGAGAGCAAGCTGCAGCTTCCACAGTTGAGCCGCAGCACAATTCACCAGCAAGCAAGAACAGCACAGATCCCGAAATTGCAGCCAAAAATGCAGAGCAAGCCACAGCTGTCACAGCTGCCGCAGCTGAACCACAGCACAATTCACCAGCAAGCAAGAAGAGCGCAGATCCCGAAATTGCAGCCAACCATGGAGAGCAAGCTGCAGCTTCCACAGTTGAGCCACAGCACAATTTTCCAGCAAGCAAGAACAGCACAGATCCCGAAATTGCAGCCAACCATGCAGACCAAGCTGCAGCTTCCACAGTTGAGCCACAGCTATGGCAGAGATTACAAGCAAGCAGGACCCCCATAGACTTAGACCCTGAAGCAGCAGCAGGGCCCAAAGTTGAGCCACAGCACAGCTCACCAGCAAGCAAGGCCAACATAGACACAAATCAGGAAAGCGATTGGCTGGAAGAGATGCTAGACGCAGAGATGGAAAATTTCTCTCTGCAAGAGCTGAAAATACAAAAAAAGGGTCAACCAAGAATAGTTTCAGCATTGGGGGCAAGACCATTCCAAGGACCCACAAGCGGCTTTGCAGGACCAAACAAAGCCATGCAGCCAGTTGCTCAGCAACAGACAGCACAAATTGACGACACAGCAGACAAGCATCAGCCTGATGCAGCGCAGCAGCCAGATTCTGAGCAAGATGGACGAAGCAAAAAGAGGCCACTGGAGATACTTTCTGAGCAGGTCCAACAAGAGGCGGCACAGCCTGACGACACAGCAGACAAGCATCAGCCTGATGAAGCACAGCAGCCAGATTCTCACCAAGATCGGAGAGGGGCAAAGAGGCGACCACAGAGAGTTTCTGAGTATAACCCAAAGAGAATGAGAGGCAAACAGAGGGATCCTGCTCCGATCTTGCCGCCTACAAAACCACTTGAACCACAGGACGAGGAGAAGGAGGAGAGGGAGGGGGATGGAGATCCCAATCCTCAAGGTGGAAAGAGGAAATTGAATCGGGGGGGGAACAAACGCGGAGATTCCATCAGCATTGCCAAGAAGCTGAGAGCAGTGAAGAAGTACGAGGAGCTGGTGGCAGAGAAGGGGGAGAAGGAGGGCAAGAGGGAATTCTATGCATTGAAGATCCCAGGACAGGGGTCAAAACGGGCTTCCCCTCAAGGAAAATGTAATTTTAGAACAGATCATGGGCAGTGTGTAGCTTATGGGTTGTTTTATGGCTTATGATCCTTGAAAATAGACCCAATAATAAGAATATATGTACATATTTACATAAACATTTACATAAACATGGGTCTTTGGTCTCCCTGCCCAAAAGTTAGTATACTGTGCAGGATCCATTAATTATAGAACAAGCGCTCTCCATGCCCAAAAGTTAGTATACTGTGCAGGACCCATTCATTATAGAACAAGTGCTCTCCCTGCCCAAAAGTTAGTATACTGTGCAGGACCCATTAATTATAGAACAAGTGCTACTTATGTATGTATCCTTTGCCTAAATGGAAATGAAACGGGCAACCCTGTACATAAAATGAATAAGGTCTTCACTAATTTGATGACGCAGTTGGCTGAAACCGTAAATTTCGATGGAACCTTATATACATACATGTTGCCCTTTGGCCACATCCACAGGAGTATACCGAGGGGCTATGTCCAAGACCAAATGGCTGGGATGCCGCCAAAAGGAGAACTGGGACAAATTTGTGGAGAATTGCCCAGCACAGGCAGAAAAAGTTGACATGGTGCCAAATTGGGCTCGGCGGAATATGGGCTTATCCATTCTGGGAAGGGCAGCAACAGGGTTTCCCCTAGCGTTGCAGCACTTGACAGACGATGTGCTTCTGAGCAAGATGCAGCTCGGAATGGAATTGAGTCCAGCTGGCATTTCAGATCTGATTGAAACTTTGGTGGAGGAGTACAACAAGCAAATTGGTGACATCAATGCGGAGATCGAGGAATTCAACCAAAGAGAGGATATCGAAGAGACAGAGAAGAAGCTGCCACTTGCAACCAGCAGCCTGACACATTGGAGCCTTACAAAGCTTGCAATGCGCTTTGCACAGAAATTTGCTTGGGGCAAATATAGAAATGAAAAGCCAGGACGACACCTTGACATCAACAACCCCCAGATTGTGAATCTACGGGGGTGGATCCAGCAGGCCATCAAGGATGGCCGCGCCCACGAGCGCCTCATTGCCAACTTCGACCAAGTGTGGACGCTCACCTACGAGCCCCTCAAAAAGGTCGCATTCAAACAGGTGCCCTATCATGGTGAGAAGCCATTGTCCCAGAGACTTCCCCAGAAAGCTGACCTCATGAGAGCGCTCCGAAATAGTGTTGGTCTTCCTCCTGTGATGCTTGGTATTTGTTTGGGGTCAAAGGGCATGCCCACATACATATGTGGGATTTTGTGCTTTATGAGCAACTTTAGTGACCTAATCTATGCACATAGGCTGCAATGTGTGAGATCGACAAACCCCTGCATAATGTTTGGTGTACAGAACTAACTTTTCCTGACTGTTTTATGTATTCTTGTCGTTAGAAGAACATCAAGCTAAGGGATGCCCCGCGAGGAAAATACGCGGGTCCAGCATTGGCCTTTGCCGACCAATACTCATCGATCTGTGCGGTGGAAAAATGGAGAGTTCCGCGGAGTACCACGACAATTACCTGGATTGATGGTACAATTTCCAGGCTCTTCACAACACTGGCAGAAGGAACGGTCTCTGGCAATCAACTTGTGGAGCTTCAGAAACGAATTGAACCAGCAATGCATCTTGAAAGTACTGGAAATGGTAGCCACATGTGGAGTGCATCGACAACGGTCTCATTTCTGAATTTCCTTTCTGGAGCTCCTCAGCAATAAAATTGATACAGGACACATGTAGGTACATTACATAAACTTTTTTCGGGTTTTATATTCAGAAGACCCCTTCAAAACTGCAGTATTTACAGGGAACAAATAATTATAGAACAGCAAACGTACATACATTCATACATACATATGTACATAATTCCCTTTGGGTGTTCCATAATTCTATGCTCATCAAAGATTTCAGAAGATATTGCAGTACATACATATGTATGTACATACATGCATCATCCTCTTTTCTGGGTTTATATCAATACATGTTTTTTTTGGGTTTGATATTCAGAAGACCCCTTCAAAACTGCAGTATTTACAGGGAACAAATAATTATAGAACAGCAAACGTACATACATTCAAACATACATATGTACATAATTCCCTTTGGGTGTTCCATAATTCTTTGCTCATCAAAGATTTCAGAAGATATTGCATATGTATGTACATACATGCATCATCCTCTTTTCTGGGTTTATATCAATACATGTTTTTTTTGGGTTTGATATTCAGAAGACCCCTTCAAAACTGCAGTATTTACAGGGAACAAATAATTATAGAACAGCAAACGTACATACATTCATACATACATATGTACATAATTCCCTTTGGGTGTTCCATAATTCTATGCTCATCAAAGATTTCAGAAGATATTGCAGCACATACATATGTATGTAACAGTATGTACATACATGCATCATCCTCTTTTCTGGGTTTACATTTGTCAGTACATGGTTTTTTTCGGGGAACAAATAATTATAGAACAGGATCGATGCACAGCTAAGGAATTGCGGGAGCGGAGGCGCCGGCTCGGCTTGGACGGAAATGCACCAGCAATCATTGTGTGCGACGATGCAGACCAGCACAGAAATCCTACCTACAGGACAAATGCATGATGTTTTACATAAGTATACATAATTATACATACATATGTACATACATATACATACACAGTACATATTCCCGAATTAATTTTGTAATCCACCATTTGGGGCATTTTTATGTACACACTGTGGATGGAAGAAATCCTGCACCATTTGGCAGCCGTCTGGCAACTATGGAACATTAAAAATAGCGGGATTATAAGGGGATAAACCATATATTTATGTACTGGTGCAGGATTTCTTCCATCCACAGTATGTGCATGCATATAGTGACCATACATGGTCACAAGGAAGACCCTTCTTTTTGATGACCATCTTGTAAAACCTGGAGGAATTTGAGGGATTTGTGGTCTCGCGAGAACAATGCCATCATTTTGGGTTCAGTCAAAGGCGACGATGAATTGCCCGATGTGCCAGGCGAAATTGAGCTGACTGTGCTTTCATTTACATACATACATACATACATGCATGCATGCATGCATACATACATACAGTACATCCATTTATTTGCATATGCATATTGTTCTATAATTACGTTTTCCTGCTTTATTTGGGGAAGTTTATGTGCTCTTCACAACTCCCTAGGTGGCCTGGGAAGTTGCGGAGCTCCCAACGATGGTGGGATTCATCAGAATTTCCACCTGCTCCGACAAGCTTATCAACGCACCGCATTGGGCTGGCTTCGAAATCCTGCTTTTGCAAAAGGGCAAGCAGACTATGAGGTCAACAACCAGGGTGAGATTAAATTTCCTCTAGCTCTTCCAGTGTCGCTCGAGAGTGATGCATATGCTCTACAATGCCTGAGAGCATACGAAAACGGAAAGATTGTTCATTGGGCATGGAGTTCCAGGGGGTACTCGACATTGGATGATATCGCTCGGTGGTTGTTTCATGGTTCCACCGTCCTTGCTGAAGAGTTCATGGCCCCTTCAAAAAAGAATCATTTGATCGATCAGTTTGGGAAGCTGGAAAAGCCCCCTGCTCTGACCATTCTCGGTGAAGATGACGGACGGGATTTGCCCTCGAATCCCTCGAACCTTCTCATTGGGGAAAAAGTCCACATATGGTTCGTGGACTGTGGCATTGACGGTATGATGCCTTTGCCACATTGGTGCAGCTTACACATAGAATGTGGCATCTCAGTGTGGAAGAATGAACTCCGTTCTTGGCAGCAGAAGATTCGAGCAAAGGCTCCAAAACCTTTGCCGCCAGCCCAAAAAAAGCAATTTGATTTGTGGGTTGAAAATTCCACCCGGAGGATCGTGCTGGACCAGCAAACCAAGATGCAGATCAAAAACCCGGCAGCTTGCAGCAAAAGCAGGCTTGTGAAACATGGGATTTTATTGGATTCTCGACCGCAAACACCTTTTGTAGAGTTGTTCTATAATTAGGATGTCCTCCTGTATACCTACTGTACATGCATACATACCTACAGTACCTACCTACCTACATTCCTACGTAATTCCTTCCTTACTTACTTTCTTACATCATATGTCCATATTGTTCTATAATTCTTGTTTCCCCAGTTTCTTCAGGGAAATTAGGTGGTCCTCACAACCCTCCAGGTGGATGCATACATGCAAACATCCTGTGTCAACTTAGGAAATTGCCATGTCCGAGCAGGAGTCTGATTTGAAGATCAGAGTTGGGGATGGGCAATGGAAGCAGCTTTCTGTTCGGCAGTTTGATGTCACAGAAACCCAGCCTGATAGTTCAGAGGTACCAGAATTTCTTCACATGAAAGAGGATGAAATCGCTGAGGTTGGATCGAAAGATGAAAATGCTGGAGAATGTGATCAAATTGATGAAGTGGAGGCTGCATTCGCAGAGGGGGGGAAACACGCCTATGCTCCTGCTTATGATCCTGTTGCGGAGGATGAAGGCATGCATGGGCAACCCGATGGCAACCTTCAAGGTGAAGGAGATTCAGGTGAAGAGGAACCAGATGATGCATCGATTCCGGATTGGGTGCAGTGCATCCAGGGTACCAGGTTCTTTACTTTGACCCAGGCATTGGTAATGCCTTCTGCTTTGCACCTGCGAACCTGTTCTTTTTCGGGCATCAACGTTCCAAAATACATAAAGTACATGGTGCTTGTTGATGTTGAATGAGATTTCACGATGGTTTTCTGAGATTTCACGGTGATTTTCTGAGATTTCACGGTGATTTTATGGGATTTCATGGTGATTTTATGGGATTTCATAGTGATTTTATGGGATTTCATGGTGATTTTATGGGATTTCAAGGTGATTTTATGGGATTTCAAGGTGATTTTATGGGATTTCATCGTGATTTTATAGGATTTTATGGTGATTTTATGGGTTTTCATGGTGATTTTATGGGATTTCATTGTGATTTTATGGGATCTCATGGTGATTTTATGGGATTTCATGGTGATTTTATGGGATCTCATGGTGATTTTATGGGATTTCATGGTGATTATGGGATTTCATGGTGATTTTATGGGATCTCATGGTGATTATGGGATTTCATGGTGATTTTATGGGATTTCATGGTGATTTTATGGGATTTCATGGTGATTTTATGGGATTTCATGGTGATTTTATGGGATCTTCTGATCTTGTCTCTTCTGACTCTTCTCACCTCTGCTTTTCAACTGTCCATATTGTCGGAAGTTTCACTTCTAAATATTCTTCGATTACATTACACTACGTACAGCGCAGTACAATGCAGTATGGTACATACAGACAGACAGACAAACAGACAGACATACTGTACATACATCCGTGCCGTGCCGTGCCATGCCATGCCATTGCATGCAGGCATGCATGCATGCCTGCCGCCAAGCCTTACCCGCCACGCGGGATAGGCACCAGATGTAATGGCTGTAGGGGGGAAAATAGAATTATAGAACATATATGGTAATCAAACACGTGTAGCTGAGACATCCCCGATGAATGTTTCAAAACGTGATAGGCACCAAATGTAATGGCTGTAGGGGGGAAAATGTAATTATAGAACATACATGGTCCGCATATGTAAGATTGAAGGGAAAAATATATACAAATCCGAAACGCAATGGTGAAGAAAAATCGGACAATTCTGGCAGTTATGGCCCTTTACCATGGGGCATCTAGCATCTTTCAAACAAATACAATTCCAAATGTGAGGAATGTATGGGGAAAACCTAATTATAGAACAGAGATGTGACCGGTTGCCAAACTAAGGAATTGGCGGCTCTGACACGGCTGCAAACTTGCAGGGCATCATATGGGACAAGGACAAGAACCACACAAAGCAGTGCTGGGTCCGCGTGAATTTTTCAAAGTCTGATTTCAGCAATGCACTGCCCCCAAGGAAGGGATGCAGAATGCAAAGATGGTGGCCAAAGGGTGAAAATCCCAGATTTCAAGTGTGGTACCCCCGGAACGAGGGTGATGTACATGATTCGGCAACATTCCATGGGAATTCAAAATTTCCAACAAACGCTTACAATCTTGCACGAAATTGGGCTTGGGAGAGACATAGAGTCTTTCTGGAAAGCCAAAAAAAGGAGTAATTGCGTGGCAGATGAGTGTTCTATTAGTTTTCCATTCATTCCTGAGTGTATATATATATGTACAGTATACATATTCCAGTCTTTGACAGAAACACCTCTGCAAAATATAAATGCCATTATGTACATTTGTATGTATTTTTTGCCACGCTTTTGCTCTGGAAAGCATCTCATTGCAAAGCGCACAGTATCATAGATTGCATCATGGAGACTGCTTTGAATTCATTCATCTATGAAGATGCCAGGCAACTCACTGCTTGCAATAAACAGGTACAGTACATAGGTATGTACAATAGAACAATGTAATACATAATGTAATTTGGTCAAATTTCCCACATTTTTATTTTTACAAACAGATTGGTTTTTGGAGCTTGATTGCCTGCTTTTCTCAACGAAGCATGATGTACATTAGGCAGAATGTTCCAGTGTCTGCTACAATACAAGTCTTGAGGGGGATGGAAAAAAGGCAGTTTGCTGAGCTCTTTCTGGGACCCCGGAAGAGGTTCTATAATTCTATAATTAATTTTCCCGTTCTATAATTAATTTTTCCGTTCTATAATTAATTTTTCCCGTTCGACGGAAAAATTAATTATAGAACGGGGCCCGGGAAACATTAATTATAGAACGAAAATGGGAAATGTGAGAAAAATGGGGGAAAACAGAATTATAGAACAGCAGCGCTCCGACAAGAATTATAGAACGACGCAAAAAAATAAGAGGAAGATCAGATACATTTTTTTTTCACACCTTCCGAGGAAAACAGAATTATGGAACAACAGGGTACGGTAAATAACCGTACCTTCGTCCTCTTCCAATTCCGTTCTATAATTCCGGCACTGACCATATTCATATATATATATATTCATATATATATATAATATATATATATATATTGATTGTGTGTGTGTGCGTGTGGCCCTTACGGCGTCGGCTCTTGGCCTCGTCCTTGAGACTGGTCACGAGGTTCGTAAGTCACCATTCAGTGGATTATCCCATGTATAAATGGGTCATAATTATAAAGTAGCTGATTTACTTATTGGGATTATAACATATTATAACCCTTTTATACATGGGATAGCCCTAGTTGGGGGACTTACCAGGGTTACCAACCACTTACTAAATGGGATGATCCTCCAAGTAGCACAGCGACCCCTGTTGAATGCAGGGATACTTTCGAGCGGATCTTCTCATGCGATGCCACCCGTCCTGCTGGCGTGTTCTGAGGGAGACTGTGGAGACTGATGGGAATGCATCAAATTCCTTAAGTGAATTGCCTTCCCATTTGACGTGCTTTGATCATGGCAAAAAATGAACAATGATGAGCCCCTACAAGCAAAAACCGGTGCTATTTTGCTCCAGTGAATTGCTGGATGACCATTCCTTCGTACTTTGTGAGAGTATTTTTGCAGCGTTGGGCGTGCCAGGGAGGATAGTTTCGTTGCTTTGGCGGCGTGGCGGTCTCAGATGTCACCGGGAACATCATCGACAAACGTAGGGATTTTCGATTGCAAATGGTTGGATTACCAGAGGGCAAATTTAGAGGTCTGGTTCGACCTGTTGCAGTGGAAAGAACTGATGCAGGTAGATCATGGTAGATCATGATAGATCTAAAAAAAACTAATTACATGGAGTCTTTCCATGGCATCGGCAGGCTAATGTGCACATGTACATGCTTGCATTTTTTCAATTTGATCCGTATGGGTTTGTCGGAAATTGTGGAATCTCAAAACGTCATGGTTTATAACCTTTTCCCTCCTGAAAATGGCCATAGTGTGGGCAATTTCCCCCCATCTCCCATCAACGTAAGGCCGTACGCGTACCACTCCTGGCAGTGTTGCAGGCTCTTTCCTGCTCCTTTGGTACCTTTCCAAAGCCATCCCAAGCGACCACGGCGGGCGCCGCGCAGTCACGAGTCCCCCCGCTAGACACAGATGGCGGGTGGCACAGCCCGGCTGAGTTTGCGACATGTTCGGGTTTTCAGACACCCAATTCAATGTTTGCCTTTGAAGTTAAAGGAGCTTATGTTCTTGACATCAAAAACAGTTGCAGCAATAGAGATCTGAAGAGGTTCTGTTTGGATCCGTTTTGGACACCAAAGTGCCATGGCTATGCCACCTGATTGGCGGGGCACTGTGTAGTTTGCAGGAGGGTCGTTCTAGGATGTTCTAAGTAGACAATTCTTTAAGGGGTTGGTACCATGTCATGGTGTCATGTTATTTTGGGTTTAGGGTTACGTCATGTGATGTTATGTGATCATGATTCTATGTGCTAAAGTAGCAGGTAGAGCTGGGAGAGACTGGAGTGCTGATGGTCAAATTGCAGGGAACACGCCAGGAAACCGGGCATTTGATGAATGTCTTGCATGATTGGTGACTTTCACAGCCAGAACCCCTTGTGATATTCCAATGTTCTCGATATTAGGGAACCCTTCCCGGAAGTGATAGGGATGCAACCTTTGGCAGATCCTGTGCCCAGATAGTTCTGACAATTCGAGAATGAGTTGCCGCAAGGACGGCTCAGCGTCGCTAGACTTTAGACAGACAGCACGGCAGCCACAAAGTTTCGAAGTGTCGATACATGGTGATACAGACACATGAGGACTCAATGAGCAAAGATTTCGGGATGAAGTTGTACCTTATATATCCTTATAGGTTAGATACTTTTCCCATGCAAACGTTTAGGAAGTGTGCCAGCCCGTGAATGAACATGGGCACAATCAGAAACCTTAGAGAGGCCTGGCAAAAAAATATGCTAGATACAACCGATATCACCAACATCACCAACGAAGAGGGGCTGAACTCCTTGAGACGGAGATCGAGAGAGATGTCTAGTGGAATGCCGCGCTGCTCTAATGATCTGGTTGGTGGTTTCGAAAGTTTGGTGATTTTATCGTTGGAAATGATGATCCAACATGATTCATGTACTTAAATAAATAAATATATATAGATATATTATACCAAACATTCTGGACCATTCATCCAACCAGTATCTTAGCCGCTGAAACCACCAACCAATTATTGCGAAATGTCTCTAGAGCAGCTTTTCAAGCCGCCGCCGCAGGCCATTGCATGTCTGCCCCCGGTTATCCCAAAAAAGAGCCAACAGCTGGGTGATGTTCCATGATTTTCCTGTTGGACATTGCTGTTTTGTCTATTGATTCATGTTGATTCATTGGATGTTGCAGTGTCATGAATCAACACGAATGGTTTGTTGGACATTCAACATGAATCAAACATCTATTGGTTCATGTTGACATGTTGATTCATTGAAAGCTTATGTGCCCCCCAAGAAACCATGAAGTCTTCCGACCGCGTCCATGGGATATTGCAGCGTTCATCACTGGAAGCCCAGGACCGAGATACCTCCGGAAGCATCCTTTGTGCCAAGAGCTACTTAGGCCAGGGGTTTGTTGCATGGTGTGTCTTCGTTTTCCCTGGATGTGGTAGCTGTGACAGAGTAAAAGCCGACCTTTGGAGTATAAAGGAAAAGAAGTCGGATGCGTGATGTGCTGACAGCAGGGAAACCATCTGTAGGTGGAAAATTAATCCATTGCCATTGCCATGTTTGATTACCAGAGAGCACAAGGGCGATCTTCGCCAGTTATTGGGTTCAGCATCATCATTTCAATGTCCAATGGCCTGAAGGGAATCATATCGGTGGGTCAAAACTTCAGCACCTCGCTGACACCAAAATTTAGCTAGCAGTTATGAATATTGATTCACATCATTCAGTTTGATAGGTATTGACCCATCATTTTTCCCCACCCTGAGATAAGAACTGCACAACGGCCATGGTCTCAATGTTGACGAGTTTGCAGGTTTCTACATGGCGCAGCTTCAATTCGAGGCACCCTGAAGAGTGTTTGTGAGTTCTGGAGACAGGACAGGGATGGAGGACAGGTGTGTCTGAAAACAGGCTACCCCATGGTACCCCCAAATTTGACGGTTGATCATTGTATTTTGGCATTCTTAGGATGGCGATCCCTTGTCAACATGCTCAGACGAACCCATATGCGCCAACCTCCAACCAATCAAGTCATAGATTTCAGGCATCCCGGGCCAGGATGAAGGCTAGAAGGCTCGCCCAATGAAAGATGAAAGGTGAATCTATGCTAATGCCGTCCTACCAATTGGAATCATTTGCAGATGGTTTACACAAACCATTTATGGTGATATCGGGGATAGTTTATTTATGGGCTTTACCACACTATTTCGATGGTAATTTTTCGTTTCTCGATGGCAATGGTAATTTCTATAACTTCCGCATTCTTGCCGGATAGAGCCCTACCAAACAATAGTTGTAGCCCCAATCTTTGTTGATCTTCCCCTAAAAAAACTTGGATTTGCTGCAGGTGATTTCTTTGTATACTCTTCCAATATTCATAAACTCATTGGAGAATCTACTGTGTATATATACATATATCTATCTATCTAAGTATTTGTATGTATATATATATTATATGGGGAACTTTTTAAAACCAAAGTTGGGTCTCCAACCCTAAGCAGATCCCACAACACCAGAAGCCCCATGGATTTCCAGGCGCGACAGCTTCGAAAGACGTACCTCTGCATCTGTGAGAAGCACGCGCCCAGTTCCTGCCCCTGGTGCATTGAGAAGCCCTTGGCGAGCCAGCGTGCTCTGGCGAGCAATGGGGGGATCCTATGGAGAGATGGGGATATCACTGGGTTCATCAACTCATCAACTATTGAGATAGTCTATGACATTGAATTGCAATTTTGCTATTGGGATATTGAATTATTGGGACGATGAATTTAACGAATGGGATAGTTATGATCAATAATTGGGATGATTGGATTCACAAAAATGATAAATAACTTCCAGGTGCCCCAGCTATCAAACATGTTGGGCACCATATTACTGTGATGTAAATCATTCCAGGTCTCCAGGTCAGGGAGTACCCCCAAAAAGAGCCACAATTGGCGTGCCTGGAGATTGGACCCGTGATTCTGAAATGGGGTATGGGTCGAATGTCTTAAAGAGGAGTACTGTAATGACGCACCCCCAACCATTGGTCTTGACACATTCCGAGGTGGCAGAGCCTTTGTATCTGATAGAGGGAAGACTGCAAAGACAGAAGCACCTTCTGGCATGGTTTGATCCATTCCGTGGCCTGTGTTGGGGGGGTCACACTGCCTCATAGTTTTACACATGTGGATGGCCACGCGCGACTTTCAGAAGGCCTTTGGCCCGTTCCTTTCTTCGGCTGAAGCTATTGAAAGGCACCTCCTTTTTGACTCGGGAAGATCTTCAACAGCTTCTGGCCGACTAGGAGAAACACACGCCAGGGTTTTGAGGACTGGAGCATATTAAGCATGTTCCATCAAATGGGATTTCACCATCGATTGCTGACCCGTCCGCAGGGTAGTCCGCTGATTCCTATACAGCAACTGATTTTCCCATCCAAATGATCAAAGGGGGTTTCCAATAATATGGGTACCCCAGGTTGTCACATTGATAACCACCAAATTTGGATAATTTTGCCCCCCCATCCCCCCAGATTTTTGGAAAACTCCCCAAAGAGTCAAATGGGGATGCTTCAAATCGCTGATGTGCCAGGTCGTTCAGGTGTCGCATCTTCATGATGAGTCTGGAAGACCTTTCAGCTTGCTCCAGGTCTTGGTGCACCGAAATCGGGACCTGATGGACCTGGCGAACCTAGAGAATCACAGAGAGAAGTTTGTGTGTCCAGATTGTGATGTGTTTTTTTAAAATGTTCACTTCCATGATCTTCCATTTACCCTCCGGTAAACTAACATAACTATGGAAAATCACAATTTTTTCATGGGTAAATCCACTATAAATGGCCATTTTTAATAGCTATGTTAGTCATAACCAGAGGGTACGGATTCCAGGTTTCTGACTTTTCATGACCAGATTCTATATCGGAGCCGGCCCTTCAGGTCGATCTGCACACCGGAAGGCCGCGCCTCGGGAGATCCAATGCAAAACCTGGATTTCGGTGTGGGTTTTGGATGTTTCAGGGATGAAACTAGGATGGATTTCGGATATGTTTTACCCTCTGGTTATTTAACATAGCCATGGAAAATTGCCCATTTATAGATGGCTTACCTATTAAAAATGGTGATTTTCCATGGCTACGTTAAATAACCAGATGGTATTATGTTTGGATATTTTTGGATGATCATGATCACATGTTTTTGCAGTAATTCTTGTCACCTTCCACGCCAGACCAGTGACTGCGATAGCTCAAACGACAAGGATAGTTGAGATATTCTTCTGAGGTCTGGCACTTTCCGTTTTGGGTTTTTAAATGAGGCTTCACCAAATCCGAGCACATCTCAGTTCCATTGGGCATCCCCTTTTGGGAGATGAGATGTACGGCCAAGGCCTCAGTCGTGCCAGCAACTTGATGGACATGGGGATAGGCTATGAATCAGTTGCCAATCAAGGTGGAAAACCTTGGGTCAGAGTGATGCTGCATGCCAGCAGGCAGGATCTGAAGATCTTTTGTCGTCGACATTTTTTTTTGGTTGTCTCGAAATTTGGAACCTCCAAGATCCATGGATATCATTGGATATCCATGGTTTACCCTCTGGTAAACTAACATAGCTATTAAAAATGGTGATTTTCCATAGATTTCCGGTAGTCAAAGATCTCCACATGCAATTCTTGAGCTATCCGATCGGCAGGCTTAAGCTGGACGTGCCCAGTTTAGCAACGCCTGGGTGCCGAAGGATGAACCAGGGGCTATGGGGGTTTCCTAAAATGGGGGATAGGCACGTCACCATGGGGCGCAATACTTAAAATACTTTAAAAAGGTCCAATGACTTGGATGATTTGGGGTGTACTCCCCATTTTGGGAAATCATGGGAAACCTTGAGATTCTTGGTGATTTGGCCATCTTTTGGCGGATGATTCGGTGAATTTGGGAGTCCTGTCGTGACATGAAGTGCTGCTGTCCCAGCGGGCTGGATGTCCATCCCTCTGAGTAAATGTGAGCAGAGGGGATGCTACATTTCTCCCATTCTGGAGTTAAACACAAGGTGAAATAGTGACGTGGTGAACAAACCACAAGACCAAACAGATCCAAACAGGTTATGTTGACAAAGGAACCCCGGATAAATTGGTTGATAACCATGGTGTCGCAACCCTGATAGATGGGATAGCAGATAGCCTCAGTTGAGGCACTTCCTTCCTCAGGTTTTTTTTCCCATCAGTTCGCATTTCGGATGCCTTCTCCCTTGGTAAGGTCCGTCGATGCACATGCTCCGATACCTGAAGACTTTCGGACAGTCCTGACCTTAATGGAAATCCCAGAACTAAATGGAGCTTTCTAGCTGGGAAGATCATCCACAATTATTGTGGCTTTTCCATGAGGAGAGGGGAAAATCAATGAAAATCATCCAACCGCCCATTTTATTGGAGGATTTTCCCCATATTTTCCCCAGTTATTTGCCAATTTGATCCAATTTGCAGAGGATTTCCCAGCCAGTTTTGATCCCCAGAGGGCACCTGAAAAATCCAGCTGAGGCTCTGGAGTCAATGGTGCCATGCTCCCCAAGGTCCGGTTGTGTCCTGTGGGTTTTCAGTGACCTGACCAGGCTGGGGAGATCTGATATGATCTGATGATCTTTCGGGCTAGAAGTACTAGATGTTTTCTATAGATTTCTGTAGATGCTTTCAGGACTGCAATGTGGATATGTTATGTATATATATATATATATGTGTGTGAGAGAGAGATTACGTCACCTTCGATACTATCTACAGTAACTCCAATCTACTTTCATAAAAAGTCGCTCCATTTATGGTTACCGTCCTATAATGTACTGCTATATTTCGGATTTGATGTCGTAGTTGTGGCCCATCTGTGAATCCGTATGGGGTGGCAGGTCGACCAGACTTCCAAGCTGCCATTAATGAAAAACGGGTACCGTCGCGCTTGAAAGCTTCATTGAAATCACTGGAGGTTTGTGTTCTTTAATATATTTTCGTTTAGAGTACCCTCTGGTAATTTAACATAGCTATGGAAAATCACCATTTTTAATGGGAAAACTCACTATAAATGGCCATTTTCAATAGCTTTTTGTTAGTTTACCAGAGGGTAGGTTCTTGGTTTTCTTGGGAGATGGATTTGCCACATCTCCCACTACTAGTAACAGTTCAACTTTTGTGGATTTTGGCATCCCCAGTGGCGCTGGAGCGCTTTGAAGGTGCTCGTTTACCTCGAGAAAGGAGACAGCACAGCCAGCGAAACAAAAGGCTTCCAGAGCTCGTTTGGTCACCAGTGGTGCTTCAAAGGATCCGCATATCATATGGGCTTGTCCAAATCCCAAAGATATCATCCTTTTCCCGATTGGAATTGTGCTTTTTGGGCTGTGCTGCTTTTCATGTTTTGAAAACCATAACCAACCCATCTAGACATGTTGGGGTCCCCACAACCAAGGGATAGAGCCGGGGGTATCCCCACTCAGTACTCGGTCTAGCACTTCTGGGACTACATCACACGGTTGGCACATATCTGGTGGCAGATAGCTTTGAGCAGCCACGACATGCCAAGACCTAGAGAGCACGGCCCTTCAGAAACTGTTTGAACAAACCGGATGATGAATGATGAATAGATATGATGAGAAGTGTTACTCAGGCACTTCCTTTTCAAACCGCATATTGTTTGCTTCGGAGCCCATTTCTTTCCAGGCATGTTACTGTAGTAGAGCTTTTGGCATCCAAATGGCACCCCTTCCAAATGGCACCCCTTCCAAATGGCTCCATTCAACGGATTGACAGATATTGACATGCCAAAACACCTCTGGCAATCTTCCAAACAAAATCCAGCCCATGTCAAAAAATCCATTGCCATTTCCCCCAAGAGGGCCTTTCACAAGAAATCCGGCAATGCCTCCATGAGCCGCATCGGAGACGTTGTCATTGGACGCACCTTGTAGGGGATCCAACGTGGGATGCTGGATAGATATGGGCGTCTGAAAATGGGACAGAAGGATCTACCCTCTGGTAAACTAACATAGCTATGGAAAATCACCATTTTTAATGGGAAAATCAACTATTAATGGCCATTTTCAATAGCTATGTTAAATTACCAGAGGGTACTGGTCATGATGATCGGATTGAGGGTCAACAGGGTCAAGCATATTTTCAGAGAAAGCCGTATTGGAAGAGATTTTTTGTGATGGTCAATCTAAGGTCCATTGCCGCAGAAGGACTTCTGGTGAAGTTGCCTCAGTTGGGGATGCTCAGTGATATCTTTGGAGTTTAATATGGGGTGCTGAGGGTCCAAAAAGAGTGTTTTTTTCATTCAACAGCAGAATGTGTATATATATAATATACATATATATATATATATATTATATACATATATATATATGTATATTATATATTTATACACATCTGTCACATATTATGAATCATTCGTCGGATTCTATAAATAATAAGATCACATATCAATACATAGATCATACATGATCTGCTATGCACACACGCACACACGCACGCACAGAGACAGCTGGGCCCCACGGTCAGGCAAGATGCTCCAGCCCTGCTGCCTCGCCAGGCCAACCATGTCGATGTAAGGACTTAGAACCATGGGAGAAGATGAGTTGGTTACTCCATGAGTTAATAATAAGTAAATAAATAAATACATAATAAATAGATAAATAGATAAGTAAATAAACAAGTATATATATATATATACAAATGCGTGTTTTAATATGAGTTAAAATGACTTAGTATGATATATATTTATATATATATATATAATATAAGTTGATACGCCCCTCCTGTTAACTCCAGTAGAACTAGTAAAACTCATCTTTAAAAACAATGAAAGGTGGGCCCATGGCTCTGCATTTGCAGGTAGCATACAGCGGTATCACTGTGGGCGATGAGATCTGTGATCTATTGGCCACGGCCTTGGCAGGATGTTTGATGATCCAGTGGCCTAACCTGACCGTTACATAACGCTCAAACGTGTTTTGTAACATGGATTGTTGAATGCCCGCAGTGATCAATTTTGTCGACCCATGGGTATACCTCATTTTGGGCCACCGTAGCCATATTCAACCCCCACTTTCTCTGTCTTTCTCTAGTCTGTTGTTGCTGGTTGAATCAGGTAATTTTTTATCGCTGGTCAATGATGTGCCCCCCCAAAAAGGGTCGTCAACTATGATCGAATGTATTATAAATATGGTGTTGAGTCAAAACCTATGAAATGAAATACCATAGCCATCCATAGCCATAGTTTTGAGGGGATGAACATCCATTTGCCACTTATGCCCTGGTGTTCACCAGGGCAGAAAATTCGGTTTTGACCCAGAACCATGTTCGAAATCTCCACAGGAATTGTCCCTGTTTGGTATCAGAAACCCACATCAAA